GCAAGAATGTGGAAGTCAGCATTCAGTTTGAATCAGGTTTCTGTGACGCTGCAGGATCAAGTTCTCTCTGTGCTATCCTGCTGTTTGCCAGATAAGCTTTGGGCTAAAGCTTGTTGAGAAGGTGTCTCTGCCCAATCTGAAACATGATTTCCATCTGCAACTGGACCACTGTGTATCAGTGATGGGCTTTAGACTCTTGGAAGTGCCATAACTGGTTGGGTGGTGCATACGTTTCTTTGCTTGTAGAGAATTTGTCATGTCCAGAGAAGTAGCCATTCATACTGTTTTTTCAGATCATGTGAATCACTACAGAAAATATAGAAGTAAAAGTATGGTTTCACTTAAAACAACAGATTTGCAAAACTGGAACAAGAAATTCAAACATTGCTTAGCACTTAAGAAAAAAACTCTTCACTTTCATATATTTAGCTTTGGCTAAGTTAGCCTCAGATATTTGCTCCAGGGCTGATATAGAGCTGCTTCCTTCCTCTGTATTTAAAGATGTTGATCATTTTATGCAAATTGCTGTTTCAAGGTCTACAGCACCTTGATTATTGAATCGTCCAAAGATACTGATCCTTTTTTTTTTCTGTATGATTGGGTGCATGGATATGGTTTAGTGGTGGACATGGCAGTTCTGGGTTAATGGTTGGACTCGATCTTAGAGGTGTTTTTCATCCTAAGTGGTTCTATGAATCTGTGCACTTTGCATAATAAAGGACTCTGCTTCTCCCCACATCAGCTGTTAACTTTGTGTATCTTGTATCATTGTGTACAACTGCATATTGCAATTATATCATGTTTCTGTGCTTTAGAACATAAACTTTTTCTTATTCACAGCTCTGTTAAAACATTTGTATAACTTAACACTGTCACATACTGATGTACTGTTGTAATAAGTACTAATTTAATAAGCTGTAAAAAATATTTGAAATGGCCAACTTGCTGCATGCTTCATATAGAATGGCATAAATGCAGTAAAAGAAGATGGTGTGGCCAAGACTCTGCAGCATCTGAGCTTCACACACACTTTGCACATATCCTAACTGTTTTCTGAACCTGTGCTAGGGGAATAGATCGAATGATGTTTCGCTTTAAATGGGTGCAGTGTGTTTACCAGTTAATGTCCTAAATTTTGTGGGAGTTGGCTGTTGCAAAATAGCCTAATTTTCTTGATGTGTTATTTAAGCTTATGTAACCATTAGCTGTTGTGTTTTAATTTCAGATATTTAACTTGATGAAGTTTGATAGCTACACTCGCTTCCTCAAATCTCCCCTTTACCAAGAATGCATCTTAGCTGAAGTTGAAGGACGTCCTCTTCCTGATCCTCAGCGTGTTCCCAGCAGCCCCACTTCTAAACACAGTGTCAGTTCAGAGAAGTCCAATATCTCAACACCAAAAAAGGTTACCTTTGTATTGTTGCTATCTGAAGACCATGTTTTAAAACAATGTTTTTCAAGTTCTTTAGAAGATAAAATATATCAAACACAGTTAAAATGTTTGGCTAGAGGTGCTGACAAATATAATTACAAAATTTGTATGTACTCAGGAAAATACTTATTTTTTTATCTTTACCTTTGAGCCAGTTTTCTAGGTGTTGATGTCCTGGCTATAATTTTAAATCTTTGTTAGTATTGAAATGTATGTGTATAAATGAAAAGTAAGGTTTATTTTGATGCACCAGTTCAGAAGCATATTCTGCTTGACTATCAGAATTAAGATATGATATTTTAACCTTTGTTGAGAGCAGACATTTTATCAGAAGTTGTGGAGAAGGCTTAAGCTAATCTAACTCATCTTTGCAGAAGATAGTTTTTTAAATTTCTTAGCCCCTACTGAACTAAGATAATTCTGTGGAAATCAAATACAGTTGCTTAAAAATTAGATCAGTATTCTTACTGATCTCCTAACATTATTTAGTGTTTATTTGTAATTTGTATAGTTAATACCACATAGCATTTCCTAACTGTATGGGTAAATTATAACTTCTCATTTTTCATGTCAATCACCACATGTCAAGCCCATCTGCCAGAATGTGTTTTTATGACTAGCAACCTTTTAAAAGTACCATTTTAAGGAATATTCTAATAATCTAACAGGAATACTGGCTTGTTAAAAGCAAGTTTAGTTTAATATCAAACTTTCCTGACATTAGTATTCTTCAACAGTAATAAATACTTGATTATACTTGAAAATGTTAAACAGTACTTTGTCATTGTCTTTAAATGCAGTTCACGTTCAAGCTTAGCCTAGGAAAAATACCAAAATGCAATTCAGTGTTTTAAAAACAAGGCAAATGGCCTTTCCACATTAACTTAGGCATTACTGGTGAGTTGGGGAGAGTCCTTTCATATTTGCAGGAGCTCTCCTTGGCTTGTTTCCAGCTACTGTCTTGTACTCCCTACCAAGTAGCACATTTCCATCTATGCATTTCTTTCTGTTTCCACTGGTGAGGTTTTTTTGTGAGAGGGATGCTGGCATATACACTTGTGCGTGGGGTAGAGAAGCCAGCTAACCTGACCATCACACTCTTGTTTTAGGAAGAAGTGTGGGAAGGTTTATTTTAGACAATATACTTACAACTGTGATCAACCAGTGATTTAATTGTGTTTTTCTGATAGCTAAGTGGTAAATCAAAGTCAGGAAGATCTTTAAATGAAGAGTCAGGAGAGGAGGATACTGAGAAGAAAAAAAGGGGAACGTTCTTCTCGTGGTCAAGAAGTAAGAGTTTGGGAAAATCACAGAAGAGAAGAGAAAATGGTGATTATCCAAACGGTGAGTGTTCATATTCCACTTTATTTCCAGGTTGTTTCAGCAGTAGATGTGACTAATTTCATTATGATTAGTTTGTATCTAAGTGCATCCTTGGGAGTAACAGAGGGGAAAGAAACTGTCAAGTCAGAAGTGTGGCTAGTATCAATGGAAGTTTCATGAAAGCAGATGTGCAAGTAAATAGATAAAATGCACTTAAATTTGTTTTTATTGACTTCCATGGGATTTTTTTTCTACTTTTCAGTACATTCTGCATTTCTGTGTGCTGACAATTGCTTTTTCAAGCAGAGAGCTACTATTTTTATAGTAAGATAATTTCAAATCTTTACAGCGAAGTTCAGGAGCGTTGCATGCAAATAGTGCTATAGTTACAGCTATTTAAAAATTCCTCCATCTTCATTATCCTACTTTTCTTTCTTTTTTCAGTACCACATAGGTCTGTTCACTTTTGAACATAGTCGCTACCCATTTCCACCTTTTCTGACTAAAATGGAAAGAAGAGTCAGAGTTGTGGAAAGCCTTGTAATCTGCTTTTTGTTACTTAATTGTGTTTGAGAGTTTGCGGCAAAATTCTCTTATGAAAGCATCTGTACTTGGCCTCTGGAGGAGGAGAAAAAAGTTTTGCATTAACTCATTCCATTGAGTTAAAAATAACGGAGAAATTGCACTCAAGCGCCAGATTTGGTCCATATTGTTACTGTGATTTTTGTTTCTGGTAAATGTCCAGACCCACAAGATATTTTTGATTATATGGATAGTTAAAGTGTTCTCGTTATGCTCATACGTGAAAAGGCATTAGAGGCATTTGCTAAGATTATAGACTTAACCTTCTGAAAGTGGCGACTAATTGTCTTAGGTTTTAGTTTTCTAACACCGTATTTGCACTTTTAAATATCTTTATCTCCTTTCAAAATATCTGAAGAATAGAAAACTTTTCAAGATCAAATATTTAAATCTTATTTGATCTAATTAAATTAAGATTTATTTTTTTTTTAAAAAATGGTGTTCTGTTGTTTTTTAAATATAAAAGCAAGTGGGTGTATTCAAGGGTTACATAACCCAGAAATACATGTATACTGTTTGAGTTTCCATGCTTCAGTGCACAGTATGAAGATTTGGTGTTTTATTCTTTTGGTGTAAAACGTTTTTCTGAGCCAATATGTCAAATAATTTTCTCTGTTATAATGAATAATAAAATGAGCCTCTTTACTGATTGCTGATTCTTTCCACAAGCAGATTCTATTCAGTCCAATGGATTGTCCTACAGACGGGAATCACAAGGCTCCATGTCATCAACTGCTAGTCTTGACTTGGTAATGACTGGCTCTTACTAATGAGGCACTGGGGGAGCAGATTAAACAGCGAATGACTCATTTTCTAAGCAGTGTGATGTGATTTGTTTGATGTAATACTTTGAGAAAGGGTTTTTAAGTGATACAGTTAGAGCACAAGATGTAATATTAAGCACTTGTAGAATATTAAAAATGTAATAGAGCTTGTATTCGTATATTGCTCCTTATTTTGTCCTTGTATCAGAAAGATATGCTTTGCATCTTGTCTGTCTTAATTTAAGGCACCAGCGAACTTCCAGAATAAAGTTTCCCTTTTAAAGGGAGCTACTGTAGTTCTTTATAAACAGCTTTTTCCACCTAGCAGGGCTTTGAGATTGTGTTCTGAACAGCCACGTGGTAAAGCTTTCCCTCTCTTTGGCCTGTATGCGAGTTGCACTAGGCTGATTTCTGTGGTACCAGTGTCTGTCATGCTGCTTCTCTCTCAGTTTCTTTTAAAGTTGTGAGTTCTTATCCTTATGACTTGGCTCTTAAAATCAGAGAAAAGAGAAATTGGGAATTTCATTGCAAACACTGAGTTTGTCTCACCAAGAAAACAATCAGTGAAGACACTATGATTTCCAACCATCAAGTTCTCCCTTCACAGTGCAAAACTGACGAAATGCAAAACAAAAGCAGTATTATAATAAGGCATAAATGTCATACCTTAAATTAATTTTGGCTGTGTTGATATGGAGGAATAATCTAAAAAAGGAAATTTTTAAAAGTTTTTTTGTACTTTTGATATCCTTCTCATAGACTAGATTCTACCAACTATGTAATTTTGCCTGTACTACAAATACTGATCCAGGAAACAAACATGGCAAAGTCATATTTGTTGCTATTGCAGAAAAGTCTTGAAAACCAGAAAATGCAAAACCTCCATTAAGCAACCATCTTTTTTTTTCTCTCCCGCTCCCAACTGATTAAGTCAGAAAGATAGTGTGATTTGGATGAGAAGCAGCAAGTTAAAGAGAAGAGAAAAAGCATCATGAGTCCCATAAAATGCTGTTGAAAATAGTATTTTTGTAGTGTCATTTCAAGTTATAAGGGAACTTTTTGTTAAATTTTCAAAGATAATTTTGATACTTAGTAGTAGTGTTACTATTCTACTGTTACACTAGAGTAAAGGTTAATGCTTAACCCGTAACACTGAACTTCTACTTCCTTTAATAAAAACAAAAGCATGATCATGAAGTGAATAATTTGAAAATTTTCATTTTTTCTGTGGTGTATTTGTATGAGTAGAATTCAGATTATGTTGAAAGAAGTGGAAATTTTGTTTGAGATACCTGATGTTTTAAGGCATTCCCTGTCACTTAAATGTGGGTTCATAATGTGCCAATGGGAATTTTTTATATCAGCAGGTCATTATTGAGCATAGACACATAACTATTTGGATGTTTAATAAGGTTTTACTTATTTCTTGTACTTTTTTATTAGGAGTTCTATAGTGAATCTTGTAACATTTACACACTCGCTCCCTAAAACTTCATCTGTTCTTGAAATAAATTTAGATTTGTGCAGTGTTACCTTTATTTAAACGGTTTTTTTTTTTCCCAGGATATAAGTTCATCTGAGATTTGTGGTATTTGGAATGATTTCTAAAACATGGTAGAAAATCTGCTCTTTTGCTTGGTTTGATTCGTGCAGACTAAAAGTTTATACACAATCCTAATTTTCCCATTGGGCACTGACATTTCTTTCTTTTTCCTTTCAAGTCTGACACCTCAAGGTTGCCTGCATTTGTACCAGATAAAGATAAATCCCCCAAGTACTGCTGTATAAACCTGCCGGATGGTTCATCCAGCAAAATGGCTGTTAAATCTGGATTCTCTATCAAAGAGGTGCTATCTGGGCTCTGTGAGAAACATGGCATTAACGTCGCTGCAGTGGACCTTTTTTTAGTTGGAGGTGATAAGGTACTGTATATTCCTGGGCTTTTTTTGGAAGCATTTTCATACTCATTTTACCAGTAAGGAATTCTGTTCTCACAATACTAATACATGTCTCCTGGTTCTTCCTGTACCTGTGCATTGGCAGTTCTGGTTAACTGAAGGACAATTTTAGTGAAACCAGAACTGGTGCAGTACTGTGATTTTCTATGGTGTCTACATTACAGAAAGCAAGAGAGAGCTTAGGACAAGAATTTCCTTATAATAATAAGTTCATTTAAGTCTCTAGTCCATGTATTTTGCTCAGGGAAAAAATTAGCTTGTATTTAATTAAAAGAATCCACAAAACCCCCCAAATTTCTTGTTGTAGATGGTACTGCATTAAAGCAAAAGACAGTGACATTCAGTTGTTCAAAGGTGAATGAGATGCATTAATGCTAGAAATAATGTACGTATTTTAATATTGAAGAAAATTTCCAGGACAGCAGCCCATGTTCATGGGGCAGTGTGTGTGTGATGGCTCTCAGTCCAACAGAAATAACTCCAAATCAAAGAGAAGCTGTGGATGTGAAACATTATTGTCTTTAATTTGTGCTTTTGATTGATCTAGATGATTACAATAACAATGAATGAAGTGCATAGTTAAAGGCTTTTTCTTTTAAATCTTTTTAAGACTGTTAACTGGTCATGTGTTCTAATGCGTCACTCTGTGTAATTTATACAAGTTGAAGAACCTAGGCTTGTTTAAAACACCAAGTTCCTGAATACCTGCTGACTCCAGTGGAAGTTGAAGTTTGGTCATTGATTCACAACTAGCCCAAATACAACATGCTTTGATCATGTTCCATATTGTAACTGAATATTCTCTAGAATGCATACAATCTATATTAATAATTTGCTGAGTTATCTTAAAAAAATTGTCACTACCTAGCTGTTCTGGTTTACATACTTTAAAATTAATTTGCTTTCTTTTCTTTTGTTCCTGACATGTGCTCTGCAGCCACTGGTATTGCACCAAGACAGTAGTATCCTGGAGTCTCGGGACCTACGTTTAGAAAAACGCACTTTATTTCGGTAAGAGTCGAAAACACTGTCTTCCTCTGGCATTTCCCACCCCATTTTCCATTTTACTTTTTGTAAGTGCATTGCTAGTTACATGTGCAGTGCAACAGTGGTTAATGTAGAAAAGAATTTATCTGAATTCAATACAAAAATCCAGTCAGCCATGTAATGTAGCATCTTGATTGTAATCCAGAGTCCAGCTTGAGGGGATCCAAGATTCTCATTCATTAACAGGCACATTAAAAGAAATAGGTCTTAGTATCAAGCAAAGAGTCTCATGAGAAGAAGGAAAGTGACCTAATATTTGTAACTGAAAATGGTTGGCTTCTGTGTCTTGCAGTTGACCCCCGGTTTGAGCTTCTATTGAAGTAGAAGTCCATTTTTACTTTAGATTGCAATAACACTTACGCAAGAGAGCTGCATTGAGCATGGGGATTCTCTGAGTTAGACAAGTGCCTAACTTAGATGATATCCCTTAGATTTAGAGCCAGGTGCTAGGTGGTTCCTCTACAGGGAAAGGTGAGGTTAAGCTACCTCTGAAAGGTAATTCAGGTGAGGGCAACCAGGGTAAGGATCCAGGAGAGAAACATGGGCCACAGGAACGTTTAAAGCTGAGTGGAGCAGCACTTGAAGAGTATTACATGCAGTAGGAGGGAGCTTTCTGGATTGCTGTCTTGGATACAGGAGTGATTTTGATGCCAGTGTTCCAGTTTAGGGACATTTAAATAGTGTTGCAATGTTGAACTGCTCAAGTTAAAGCAGTTGTGAACAAGCATATGGGACAGATCTCTGGGCCCAGACAGACCTTCCACATCAGGAAGAGATGTTTAGTAGGTTGAAGTAGCACAGGCTTGGGATGAAAATTGAACTGCCAGTCTCCTAGTCTAAAGATGAAATGGGTATATTTGATTACACGTTCCCATTCAGTTACATCTGTAATTATGTGCCCACGTGGAAAGTTATAGTAAGACTAATTGTACAAATCTAAATGCACCGGAGTATAGCTTTATAACCCTGAATCTTAAACAAGTCAATGCTGAATTATTAGTACAGATATAATATAATTCAGTGCATTATATATTTAGTGTTATGTAATATTATTGGATTGCATGTGGTTTTTTCAAACTAATCTGTTTGGTTTTGTTCCCAAAATGAATCCAAACTAAAGCTATGAAAACTTCTGAAATAATTATTTCAGGAAAGAGTAATGAAGTAAAAATGTTTGTGTTACATAACTGAGTTGCGCTTTTGAAGAGAATAAAGTTGATTTAGTTAGGAATTCCTCATTTTGGCTTTATATTGCTTTTCCTTAGGAAGCAGGGCCAGTTTCTTTTTAAGGATTCTTCAGGTTAATAGATATTGCATAGCATATTAATGTTTGAAATTGAGATTTAGCAGTCATTTAATAGGTGTGAGTTTGTTGAGTTTCCAAATTGAAAAGGAACTCTAAGTAGGCAGTACCATATGTTCTTGTTTGTTAATTAAAATGTAGAAATGTTCTACATTATTCCCTTCTCTGGGTAGACGCTGTGTAAGCAAATACAGTCAAATATTTGGAACATTTTCAGACATAAGACAAATACTATGTGACTGTACTTGGTTACCTGAATGTTTGCCACTTCTGTGTCAATTACCAGTTAATGATTAAAATTGATCATTTCTGTTTAGTAGCTGTTGAATGCAAAGACAGCGTGAAAGACAAAGTTTCAGCTATTCAGGTTTCTTGTGGAAGGGAAAAGTTAACATGACTAAACACCTTGTGTTTAAGTAATTTGTGTGAGAGAAAAGATGTTTACATTTAATTGTGACTGACAACATTACTGATGATTGTGATTTCTTCTCACGATGTACATTTCTTCTGATAGTTCTGTTAGTAATAATCCTTCCCTTGTTTTCATGGAGGAATCAGGGCACAGATGAAGAACATTTTAAATATAAAAAGCAAAACTAGGCACAATTCTATGCAGGGAAATAGACTTAAATGAATTAGTTGTTTGGGTTGAAAATTATTATTTTTTTATTTAATGGGTTTTTTTGCTATTTTAATTAATTTATACAAAATTGCATGATAGACTCTGAAGAGAACTGCCTTAAGCCTTTAAATTTCAAGTGAATTGCTTTTACAGCTTTGGTATATAAGTTTCTCATACAGCAGTTTTTCCTGATATGGTGACATCAACTAAAAAGTAGCATTAACTGCAGTTTCACTGTGTTTATTCCTCTGCTTAAAATAAAAATATTTGCCCTAGCCCATCTTATGTAATTGAATAAGAAGTTGGGAGTCTCTCTTGTGGAACTGGAAAGAAATACTTTTCTTGCATCCAAGACTACTGTACAGGCGTGGAGTCACTTTGGAAGCATTCCTGGATGAGAATGATCAGATTAATCTCACTGCAAAGATGAAAGTGCTATGGAATGCATTTAATTGGTCTGAGGATCCCCATGCAAACAGACTGGCTCATGTCTTCACTCAGCTCTGGCGAGTGAAACAGAATTTTTACTTTATACCTTCAGTTTAGGATAGGTTTGTGCTGCTGAAATTAGTTACTAGCTGTAAACTAGTATAACTGCTGTAGTTTGGTTTCTATATACTTTTGTACATTTTCTTTATTGGAGTATTTAATTTTTAATGTTACAATTACTATGTTTCAGGCTGGATCTTGTTCCAATCAATCGGTCGGTTGGTTTGAAGGCTAAACCCACCAAGCCAGTAACAGAGGTCTTAAGGCCTGTGGTTGCAAAATACGGGTTAAATCTTAATGAACTTGTGGCAAGACTAGTAAGTATCTTTTGATGTAATTCAAGCAGCAATACTTTCTGTCTGGAAAAGATCATATATGATAGTCCCTGAAAGAATTCCTATCCTGACAATTAGGTATTAAAATATCTACAGCTACATGTTGAGATGAAAATGCATCATAGTCATAACCATAATGCATGATAGTTGTTACCTCAAATATTTAGTCTGCATCTGTTTTATACTCTCCTTCAGAATAAATCTAATGTCCTGAATTACCAAGCCTGAATTTAGCTTCTTCCAGAGCTCAACTCCCATTATTGGCCTGGGAAAACTGATTGGGATTAAAGCTTTTGTTCCGTTATCCTGGGAATCATGAAAGTTGCCACAAATCCCCTTGCAGAAACTTTTCAGAGAAGCAGACTGATACAAATACTCTGCTACTGAACACTTGGCTAGCATGTTCTCTGTTCTATTACTCTGGAATATCTGGGAATGTAAAGCTACTTTTGTGGTATTTATAGTGTATATGCTGTCTTAGCTGGACCAGTCTGTGTTTTTATGATAGCTGAAAAACATGTTGATATAAAGATAACTTCATTTAATAAAATTACAAAATTAACAAAATGCAATTTAGAATATAAAATAATCTCAAACATTTTTTCCATATGTCTTTTCCCTTCATACCATTCTCCTCACAAAAATGGCCCATACTCATTGGAATCAGGGGATTTTTACACTGATGGAATAAACATTTTTAGAATGGTAGAAGGAGGAGATATTAAGGCTACAATGAAATGTAAAAGTGCTTTGCTGATTTCCTTTCTAAAATGTCAGACTGCATAAATTTGTTCTGAAAACAACTTTTTCTCTATTATATACAAACTGTGATCCGACTTTAGAATGGTGAGCAGGAACCACTTGATCTTGGTGTCCCTATATCTAATCTGGATGGTCAACGGGTTGTTCTAGATCAAAAAGAACCAACCAAGGGTAGAGGTAAGGTGGTACAAAAGCTTTTATTTATGATGTCAAGTGAGTTTCATAAACCCTGACTTTGGTTTGTTTCTTCTGTTGGTGTGATGGTGAGGTAAATGTGATTAAATTTAGATATGTCACATGCAGTATATATTCTTTTTAACTAAAAGGAACTGCAATTTCTGAAGGTTGAATATTGAATTAATCTGTTGATACCAAGGACTTTCACTGTTGCTGGAAGAAATTTTGCAGTAGTAATATCTGAATATTTTACTTGCACTGGGCCATAGATCCATGCACACAGTGAGGGACATAGTCCCTAGTAAAAATAATGAGGATAAAGTGCCAAAACATCTGTGAATTTGGCAATTATTTAATAAGAAACATTTTGTATAAGTAAAAGAGATGCAGTTTGTGCAGCAGCCATACATACAGTTATCATAACCTCTTTCAACATGAGAACTAGCAAAACCTATTTCAGGTTTAAGTGATGATTTCTGAAGATAGCACTAAAGAGGATATAACTTGTGATTATCTTAGGCAAACAAATTAGAAAAATAAAAATTTATCAACTCAACATTTGATTATTTTGGCGCAATTAACACCCTACATTAATGTAAGCTGCCTTGAAAGTAAAGGTTTTGTTTCATTAGAAGACCTCTGTATACATATAGAACACTTAGTTTTAAAAATTAAATTAGATACGGTTAAATTAAATAGAGCAGAGATCCTGTTTGAACAAGAACTAGGATAATAAAGACAGAGGTATTTATTGAGGAGAATCAGATTTGTCATTTTTCTAGTGAACAGGACCAATTGTTTTTTGGTTGAATTTCAAACCAATTTTGAGAAAAGGTATCAATCTAGATACTCTTGCAGATAATTAGTTCAGGGATTCCAAGTAAAGCCTAAGTCCAATGCACTGTCAGTGGCTGTAAACCCCTGAATCCTAGAGGATCATTCTAGCAGTGGCTGGTTTGAGGCCGTGTACTAGTGCAAAAGGGCCATGGTTCTGTATTGGTATTTTTGTTGTAGGCAGATGTCATGTGGGCAGTTTGGTTACTTAGAAGATGACAAGGAGGATATGATAATGTCTAGAAAACAACTGATGCATCAAACAGGTTGAAAAAGATTCAATGTGACCTTTCTCTGGCCTTTCTGCAGATTTTTTTTTCTTGTTTAAATTCTAAATTTGAGAAGTGCAAACTGCATTATTAGCTCAGCTCTTAAATTTATTTGATCTAAAGCAGCTGAAAATTTAGGAGAACTTAAGTGCAACTTCAGCATCTTTAAACTTTCCTACTTACTGCTTGCCAGCATTAGGAAAATTTGAAGATGAGAGGGAGGTTTTCACTGAAACATATCAGAGATATCGACTATGCTCACTATTTTCTGAGTACATCTTTTACAATTTTAAAGCAAAAATCTGTTTAGTGCATCATTGTTACTTAAATATTGCTTCTTTGGGAAAAGATAAATTGGTAGTTATAGAAGATATGTTTATGTTCAGTGTTTACAGATAAACAAAAAGGTGCATCAGTAAAACAGAGTGCAACTGTAACTACTTCCAGAAGTCAAGTATCTACTGTAAGTCATCTGCAATGATTTTTGTCCCTTAGATTGTCTTTTGTTTCCTTCTAGAATTCTATACTAAAGGCTGAATTCATTCATGGCTTTGAATCAGCCAAATGATGTAACTAGATTGAATATAACTATAATTTGTCTTGATATTTTCCCACTGTCAGCAGCATTTATTTGTGAGAACTTTGTCTTTGTGATGAATCAAATAACTCTCTCACTCTGTCGTATTTGTTGTTTTGTGTCTCATTGGCTTCTCTGTGTTTGAAAGTGATTGAAATACTCTGAAATTCAGAGGCCCTTTCTGTTATGTGAATTCTTTAGAACCAACAATATTATATTTATTTATTTATTTATTTATACATTTTTGGGAACTACTATGGCAAATGTTCTTTGCCATAATCAAGACTAAACTTGATTAAGATTAACAAATTAAGACTTGTTGTGGTGTTACAGAAATATGTCTCCAAAATAACTTTTTTATTCCCTTAGACCATATTATGTACACAATGATATAGCTTAAATGTAAGTAGTACCTTAACTTTCCTTCTAATGCAGGGAGAGGGAAGAACTCTAGGAAAGTCTAATTCTATCAAAATGAAAGGCGAAAATGGAAAAAATGCTAGGGAAGTCCGGCTGTCAAAGAGAGAAGACTCTATTGCAAAGATTGGGAAAAAAAAATGTCAGAAAATAAATTTGGATGAAGCAGAGGGTATGTGAACTTTATAGCTTACATATTAGCATAAGTAGTTTTAGAACGATGAGTTTTGTGTCTGTGTAAGATAAGGTACCGTGTGTTCAATACTGTGTTGTGCATATCATACTCATGATCATTTTTGTTTGATGCTGTGTTTGATTTGTTTTTTTTTATGTTGAAGGTAAAAATGTTAAGAGTGCGTAAAGATAGATATAGGTGTCAAGTGGGATTTTCAAACGTGAAAGGTACCTAATTCCTGTAAAATGAAAAGGAATTAGTTACTCAACTGCAGTTGAAGATCCCATTTGAAACCCTTTGCAAGCCATGTAGAAGTTTGCCTTTCTGTTTACCTTTAGGTAAGTGTTCAACGCAGTGAAAGGCATTCTGCACAGTAGAGTAGACCCTAACTTACTCAGGTAAAAATGTTTTTGAATTTTCAGGGCAGTACAGGCTGACTGGGGAGGAGCTGTGATGGGCAAGAGTAAAAGCTTCGTTTGCACACAGTAACTAATCTGAAAAGGTGGTTAGAAGTAGAAATAAGCAAAGAGGTTATTTGTAATCTTGTGTATTATGAACCCTATTTTTACCTTCATTCCATCTTAATAGTTCTGGTGATATCATTGGAAAAGAACTGATAAGAGAATTTGCTTTCTTAGAGAAAGTTGTCCATGGGTGAAAGAGGAATAAAAATGATGTAGCACTAGAAATCTTGACATACCACCCTCTGCCCTAAGACACTAACTGAAGATCTCGCTACACCCCACTCCCTATTTTCCCAATTAGACAAAAAATCAGAGGACATATTTGACCCACAGATTAAAATTTCCTGC